TGTCTCCTCCTTGGACTGATCAATGTTTTATGGGTTCATGAATACACTTGAGAAGTTTTGTGTCTTTCTAATTTTTTTTACAATACATTTTTTCACTGTAAAAATAGTTTTTTTTAGAGTTGTAATTAAAACAAAGATTATTTGGAAGCTTGTTTCCACCACGGAAGAAAAAAGGTAATTGTAACTTTATATCTCACATTTCTGACTTTTTTCCTCACAATTCTCAGAATCCTGAGAAGAAAATTCTGAATTGTGAGATATAAAGTGGCAATTATGAAGAAACACGTTGCGATTTATATTCAGTCGTGGGGGGAAAAATCAGAATTGCAAAATATAAACTCAGAATTGTGAGGAAAAAAATTCCAAGAATTCAGAATTCCGAGTTTATATCTCGCAATATTGACATTTTTCTCAGAATTGTGAGAAATTGTGTGACATATACTCGAGTTGTGAGAAAAAAAGTCAAAATTGCAAGATATAAACTCAGAATTGCAAGAAAAAGTCAGAATTGAGTTTTTTAAATACCCTTTTTATTTAATTTAATTTTATTTTTATTCTGTGGCAGAAACGGGCTTCCATAGTTATCGGAGTATGTTTTACACATTCAACATTTTTTACTTCAAAATTTCATGTTTAATTCAGTGTGTTACTTGATGTTTCCTTGTAATTAATTGTGAAATGTACTAACAATTTCTGAGTGAAAACAGTTTATACACCAGTTTTTGTTTTTTTGCCAGTGTTTTTATAAATAAATTTAGGAATATCAGATACTTAAAGTGCCCCTATTATGCCATTTTTAAGGTTGCTAATATTGTTTTATGAGTCTCCTAAAACAGGTTTACATGCATGCAAGGTAAAAAAACAAGTTAGTTTTCTCAAAAAATAGATTTAATTTTACCTCATTTTAAATTATTCGTAAACGACTCGTGCGAAGCAGTTCAAAGAATCAGTCTCTCTAAACCCCACCTTTCCGCGAGCCCTCACTGCTGTGATTGGTCAGATGGCGCAGTCCTTTGTGATTGGTCCAGAGCTGTAGAGCGATTGGCTCTGGATTGGTCTACCGCGTACAGCGCGTGTCGGAAACGAAACGCCCATTGCCATGATGGAATGACATCCCTGGAAACTTGTCAATACATAGAAAAGATGGTATCTATTGTACCTTACCAATTCGAGCCGGAATCTGATGATGAAAAAGTTGAACTGGCTGATCGACAAGAGACTGATTCGCAAGCACGACTGTAGCAGGACGTTTTTCAGTGGTAAGTGTCAAGTGTTAACAAGTTTGTGGTTTATTATTAATATTAATTATAAGATGTGATAAAACAAATTTTCTCTCACAGCCTAGGATACAGCGTCTTCTCGACATGATGTTAACCACATGGAAATTTTACTGTTTGTGGGCGGGCAAGTTGGCGACATAACTTAGAACGTGGGCAGACATTATGCAAATGTGTTACTTCATGACGTAGAGCGGTAACAGAATAAGATTGGAATTCATGATGACTCATTTAGGCGATTGCAGCCGACTCTTTTTTTTGATAGACAATAACTTTATTTATCGTGCACTGTCGGCTTCACAACTTTGCAGATAGTTTATGTTCACATACAGCTACATGACACACTGCATGAAAGGTAATATTCGAAAAGGCATAATAGGGGCACTTTAAATCTACTGTATTGTAGTTTTATGTATTTTTGCGTCTTTGGTGCCCCCTACAGTTAAATGCATGGAATTCAATGTCCTAAATATATTACTGTCCTAAATACAGTGGACAGCTTTACACGTGCATTTATTCCTGCCATAAAACTATCTGCCCTGATAGCGGAATTTCGTACCTGCTCACTGAACTTTCATACACCCAGAACAGACATCCATTCGCCTTATTAGAAGTGTACCGGTTATTAGAAGTGAACTGGTAATTCAAGGTTAAAAAAAAACCATACATGCAGTTGCTTTAAGTTAACTTAAAGAGATGGAAAAAAAAGTGTGAATACGGTTTTTATAGACTCATTAATCACCAGAGTGAGAGCTCCATTTCTGCATCCACTTGCTGTGCACAAGCTTTCAGATTCTCCTTCCAGCATGTGACGTCATTGATTCTGTCAGTCAGTCACCAGCTGCTGTCATTCACATCCCAGTTTGTCTGATGACAATAACAGCAAAATATTTGATAATTAGTGGTACAGTCTTTTTATCCTGTCAAACAGCTCTCAAACCACCCTGATCATTACCTTACTTGTCTCATTACGCAGAGCTCTTCCTTCCTGGCGGATCTTGTGTGAAATATTGCATTTGTACTCAGCAGTCTGATATCTGTTCATTAGTGGCCGCCCAGTCAGACACACTGTAACGCAAGCCTGGCTTCGAACTCAGGGTGGCCATGTTTGCTGGTATCATAGAAACAAGATGACAATTAAAGACAAAAGTAGTAGTTCTGGTAAACACACAAATGGTTAACCACCTGATTCTGAAAAGTTATGTTTGTGCTTTACCATTCTGATTGATATTCATGCGTCAAATTTAATTTACATTAATAAAACAATGTTTTTCCCCCCCATTGGTTAGGCCTAATTTACGTTATTATTATTAGTAGTAGTAGTACTATTATTATTGGGGTGAGTGACCGTCAGTAATGCGCCTTAAATTCACTCTCTAAGCTCTTTAAATGAAGATAGCCTACTAATAGGCTATTAATGTGAATTAACAATGAATACATCGTTTAGTAAATTATCTACTTTTACTTATTCCTGTATATTTATCATACATGCTCATTTCATGACCTCGTAGCCTAATTGAGAGACTATATTAAGTATTTGTACTTTTAGGTTATAAATCGATTGGTCACAGAGCAGGGTGCATTTAAGTCTAAAGTTAAACTTAGCTGTAAAACTTAGATGGTGGAACAATGAAAGGAAAAGTAGTTTCTGCACCTGAAATATTTTGATTTATATATTCATACATTTAAAGGTCCCATGACATGCTGCTTTTTGGATGCTTTTATATAGGCCTAAGTGGTCCCTAGTACTGTATCTGAAGTCTCTTTCCCGAAGTTCAGCCTTGGTGCAGAATTTCAGCCACTACGAGCCAGTCCCACAATGAGCTTTCCTTAGGACGTGCCATTTCTGTGTCTGTAGCTTTAAACGCTAATGAGGAGGAGAGAGGCGGGGCAACTGCCATGCTTCGCTTGTTTGCAAGCCATGATGTCTCTCGAGGAAAAAAAAATATTGCGCTCGCCTCGCACGGTAGTAGCTCATTTTCTCATGGGCGGGCCAAATTCTCTGGGCGGGCAAAGCAGAGAAAGGGGAGGTAACCTTTCCCCGTATGACGACATAAAGGGAAGATTCCAGATTGGGCCATCTGAGCTTTCATTTTCTCAAAGGCAAAGCAGGATACCCAGGGCTCGGTTTACACCTATTGCCATTTCTAGCCACTGGGGGACCATAGGCAGGCTAGGGGAACTCATATTAATGTTAAAAAACCTCATAAAGTGAAATTTTCATACCATGGGACCTTTAAGAATACTATCTTTATGTTAAATAAAGTTCATATACATGTCATTTGTAAATCACCGAAAACATTCATTTCACTTACCGAGACTGATGAAACTTTCAGATGTGTTGTCAGTCGGCTGTTGTGAGTCCGGCAGTAAACAGTAATTAAGCGGGTCTCTTGGTAACGGGGCGATGCAACTTATTCAATAATTTATACAGCATAGCAACACTCAACAATTACTCACTCTCTGAGACGTTTCATCATCTCACCGTGACGTGTGAGACCACTCTTCTCAGGTATTTCACGTGCCTGGTTCTTTGCTGAATATAAAACATAGAACACCCTAGAAACCTCAGAGCAACCCTTAAAACCCCTTAACTGTCACCGTCCCACCTGTGGGACGCTTGGCGCTCTTTTTGTTTGTTGTCCTTTTTCTCTATCAAATCTTTTAGTAATCATCATAAATTATATATCATTTGAAAGCTTAGAAGCCCAAAATTCATCCTGTGAAAACCATTTTGAAATCGGACATTGCGTTACCATGGAAATTATACTTTAAAATCTTTTGGCGGTCTCCTCTCCCTTAGTGGGCGGTGTCAAGTGTCATATTACAAAATGCATTACGGTCTTTTAGAATCAAACCTTTTTATAATCTTGACAAAAAACATATAATTGGAAAGGTCTGAGTCTCAGGATTCCATATTTGGTAATATTTGGTTTGTCAAAGTAATATTGACAGAGAAATCTAGACATTTGTGACAGAAAAATGCATTTAAAAAAATCAATGGAGTTTGGATAGCACCCGGTGGCTGTTTGTGGTATAACGCCCTAAATAAAATCTCACAAGAACCTCCATTTTTTTCAACTTCAAATTTGGAACATAACTTATTTAGACATATGGCTTTAATTTTATACCAATTTTAGAGTAAACCCTGTTATGTAAAATATTTATTATATATAAAAGTAAATTAAATTAGTATAGTGCATTTTCTTTACAGTCAATTGAAACTTCTATAACTTTTTGATACTTTAAATTTTTTTTTACATTTTTTAAAAATTCCACTTTTGCAATCTGCTGATTTTCTTCTTTAAAAAGAGACCAACCTTGGGTCTGTATTCCAAAGTGTTCATAAATTACAACAATTTAAGTTTGGATAGTGCACTTTCATGCCTATTTTAAAAAATGCGGGGTGACAGTTAAGGGGGTTTATAACCACTTAATAACACCTTATTAACAGTGGCAAATTCCCACAACATTGTTCGCAATTTTCACATTTTATTCAGAAAATGTACACATTTTATTTAAAAATTTTATTAATTTCCCCCTCCTTCATTCAACCATTCAGTCTGTTTAATTTCATGAGCTATATATTTTTACAGCTTTGCATTGATTACTTGATAATTATTTTCCTATTGCAGATTTTTTCATGCTCTAAAATTACTGTATCTGTATACATCTAGGTTATTCATGATTTATTGGTCAAAATAGGTCATGAACATTTCGGTGCGCAATTAATGGACTGATTAATTTTGGCATTAATTGGTTTATTTTCTGTGTCTATTCTGATTTTTTTTTTTTTACACTCACAAGAAAATGTGTTCCATTAGCGAATATAAATTGGGAATACATTTGTTGTTATATCATAAATGTATCATGTTTGCAGTTAAATAATGAAAGGCAGGGTTTTTATAGATAGTCCATCTCTGCTGTCTCAAGATGTTTTGTGATGTGGTCCAGTATATATTTTTCATTTGCTTCTTCTTTCAAGTAAAAATTAGATCCAGGAAGCATCTGCACAGTGACGTCACCATTTGTCATGTCCTTCCAAGCTGTAAAGCAAAAGAGACACAATACAAGAATTGCACATAAAACTAAATCTTGTAAAAGATGACAAAATCATGCACATGAGTCTAATTATTAACGAATAACCAGATTGTTCGTTCGAAGTTTACCTCTTTATAAAATCCAAACCATGCGGTTGCAACATTGTTTTTGTAAAAACTGAACCATTTACTTGTAAGACTTGCCTTGTAAGTCATGGGGTGCATCCTCTTTTCCGTCAAAGCACAATACTGGACATGACAGGACCGGTGTTGACGGTCTGCTACATCTGCCGTACATAATGTATTATATGTAGGTTTGTTGTGCCACATATTCTGATGTTTTCTTACACTAAAGAAAGACGCTGAAGTCTGTCTGTTTCTTTTCTAAACCCACCTATAATTTTCCGCTACACAGAGGTCTGCTTTCAGTGCAGGTAAGAAGAGTTTGGCGAGCTCAGCATTGGCCAGTATCTCTGGTGGTGTGCCTCCAATATAAGTTACCCACACAAGAAACTCTTGATCTGACAGATGGCTTTTTCTTGGTGCCTGCAGTCTTGCCTCAGACTTACAGAAAAGTTCAAACATTTATAACAAACATAAATATACATTTAAATATATTTGCACATACAAGTATAGTGTAAGTATAAATAATAGTAATAAAAATATCCCACCTTTGCAACAAAATAAACCAAAACACATAAAATGGAAATACCACTTATATGTTGTGTAACTTTTTTTTTTTTTAACTCCTTTAATTTTGGCATTTTGAAGATACTGTGTATTCCACATAATATGTGGGGTGATCATGCTTCCATGTTTGTTTTCATGTGCAAAATGGTTCTGGCTGTTTTCTCATAATTTTCAATTCTATTTACAGTTGTAAGATATGACAACAAACAGAACAGATCACACTTACATATGGTGCAGAGGCTCCAGAGAGAAACATGTGGATCGGCTCAAGATTGTAGACCTTGTTTACGTGCTCGGCAAAAGCAAAGCAGGTCATAGCTCCAAAACTACAGAATGAAGTTGCAAATTAACAGGTATTTATTTATTTATTTAAAACGGTTGCCTTTTATAATGACTATCATGTTCTGGCCCATGTTCCTTTTAAATTGACTATCATGTTCTGGTCCTACACATCAGTGTATATATAATTTAAAACCATATATTTTTATATATACTTTCTAAAACCTATGATAATTTCCTGCTACTTTAGCAACAGTGTCACAAACCTATGTCCAAAGAGTGCAAATGGCTTTTCTTTGAGTTGTGGAAGTATCACACAGATGACCTCATAAACGATTTCCTGCATATTTTGAAAAAATGGTTCCTTGGCCCTCCCTTCTCTGCCTGGCAGTCTAACCGAGTACACTGAAAATAAATTATTAAATTCTGCTATTAAATATAATATAATATACACACCCACGCCCCGTTTTTTAACAGGGGATTTACCTTCAATAGAGTTGTTGAGAGTTTTGGCCCAGCGAGCATAATGGATAGAGCCTCCACCTGCCCAGGGAAAACAGATGAGACGGGCCAGAGCATCTGGGCGCTTGTTGAAAGAGGTTATGACTTTATCCATTCCTCTGAAACATTATGATATGAATCAAAAATAATTCATCCTAGGCAAAACTGTCAACTGATAAAATACTTATAGGAAAAAAGAGTTGACTAGCTGATTAGTGCTTATGGACTGATGCCACATATGGGAGATTTGGAAGACTAAAGAAATATGAAAAAAAAAAACTGAATAAACCTGGAGAGAATATTCCACATGATAGTGAGCTACACAAAGTTTGAGTTATTGATCTCAGTACTGGTTTAGCTGCATTTCAGCTTAATCAATCCCATGTATAATAGAATCTAATCTTAATATAGTAGCACATATAAATAGGGTTTGAGCTTTTTGTAGTTCATCAGCATTCTGGTGTACATTTACGACTTCATGCAGCTAGTTACTGTATTTACATACTTAAATAGATGGTTCACTGCAAAACTCAGACAGCTTTGTCAGGCCAAAGAAGATGCTTACAAGAAGGGGGACAATGTCTTGTATAAACAGGCTAAATACACGCTGGAAAAGGAGATCAGAGTGGCAAAGAGGAATTATTCTGAAAAAATAAGGATTCAGTTCTCTTCCAGAGACTCAACATCAGTGTGGAAAAGTCTGAAAGAAATCACCAATTACAAGACACCATCCCCCAGCACTGTGGAGAATAGCTCATTCTGATTCTGATTCTGATTCTGAAATATATGAGCCATTGATGTGTGCCCTAATTATTTAATCTTTCATGGGATGATTTAAGAAAGAAATTTAATTTAAATTAATTGATCTTTTTGTTTTAGACTATAGAAATTACATCAGTAAATCAACAGGATTAATAATAAAAAAAACACCAGATACTGTTCTCACGTTTATAGTGCAGAATATATCCTGTACAATCTTCTTCTTTGGTAATGGCATACACGCAAAGCACACTGCTGCCATCTGTAGATCATAGTTTGTAGTAAACTGGTGGTATTAAAATATTTTTTCTACCTGTATTGAAGTGATTTTTTTTTATTTATTTACAATTTACAAAACAAAAATGTAAGACACTACCACAAAGATGAAGACTAAATGTGATAAACAGAGAAAAAGACAAAAAAGGACTAGAAGGAGCAAAACGTTTAAATCAAATGTGAAATGTGATCAAAATAAGGTACATAACATTTAAGATAACAACATACAAAACGTCACTAAAAGAAAATAATATTTGACAGAGGAACATACATGTGGATATGATACCAGATCAAATTGGAGGATTTGTTTTTGTAAAACAAGGAAGGAATGGGGAGGAATATTATCATTTACTGTGCTAAAAAAAATATAATTTAAAAAAATTATAATATAAAGTTTTTTTTTCTTCACAATAAAAACATTTTATAGAGAGTTCATGTAATTTATGTTCTTACACTACCCATTAATTAACAATCAAAGGCGGATCAAATAAATGACATTATGCTAGGAAGTGACGGTGTTTCCTGCGTTTGGTATTTCCTGTGGGTCTCCCTGATTCAGTGTTGCCATGTCCGTGTATTTTATGTTTTTTTGGACTTATTTTTTGCTTATAAATACAGGCGATTTCAGGTTTGGGGATTATTTCAGTTTTACAGTGACTCAAAACAAAGAATCTTTAGGCTAAGAATTTGGCTATTTTAGGCTTATTTTGAATATGCAAGCCGCATATTCCGAGTTAGTTTTGTCAGACCAACTTGCCTGCTTTTGTACAGATCTGGCAACACAGCCTGACTGTACAGAGATGGTAAACCCAAGGCAAACCGGTAACACACCGACAGAGTCGATGAGACGTCAACGGCCGCTGGCAAACTCGGACTAAAAGACACATTTTCAACTTGGCAGCGGATATTCATCTATAAACTTCATATCTGAGTGTATGTCTTTAAATGATAAGAGATTGGCACTTTAGAAGACACCGCGAATGGTTCGAGGCTCCTGACAAACTGTTTCGCGACGGCTGTTAAAAATATTTTTCTTCGGAGTCTTTTGGCTTGTCAGCTGGTAGCAATTACGGATCTACGGCAAACTGTAGGAGACACGGTTGGGAGTTCGTGCCTTTTGGTTGACTGACTTGGTACTGGCTGGGTGGACCTCCGACCAGAGCAGAACCTCCGAGCGGCCCGCTTCAACACCCGCGGTAGCAGCCGGGGTGTAGTTCGGTTTACGGAGGACATTCAGCGGCTTTAAACAAACACCCTTCAGCCGGTATTTGATCCCCTGGAGCCGGCTAGATTCCGGACAGAGACCTCATGAATGGAAATCGGAACTACAGGTACGTCGCTCTCGTTTTCAGACCGATTTAGGATTCTTGTCTATTCCGAACTATGGCGAATTGACTCGGTCTAACTTTGTTACGTCCACCGTCAGCACTACACACGTTCATTGCTTAGCAAACGTCCTTGGTGAGTTGCTAATAACTGCTTTTTGAGATAAGAATACGTTTTTGGATTTATTTTACTGCTCGTCTACGTTTGGGCGTAGCAACCAAATTATTGTGAGGGTTTGGGATTTTTTTGGCTGTCATACACCGTGTGTGGAAGATCCTGACTCACTTGCTCTGCTGACGTCAGTCCACTGTGGCACAGCTGTCACGCACAGGTGCTGCGTGCGTCAGGTGCGGCAGTCCTCGAGCTGTCCGTTGCCATGACGACTGTCACTGAATCAACGCTTTATCAGTCTGAATGATCTTACGTAGGATTTTTAGGAGATCGTTTTGTATATAACCAGAAGTTCCTTTAGAAACTATTCATTGTAGATCCTCAGAATTTATAGGGATGCCGAGGTAATAATGTGTATCGGGGCGTTTTGGGGGGCCTGGCACCTTTAGTAGTCCCTAGGAAGGAAGAGGTTGAGATCTTAAAATCCATATTAATTTTGCACACAAGTAACAGGCGGTAAACATACACTCGCTGCGTCTGCGTGAGAAGGTAACCATAGCAACGTTTTATATACGCAAATATTTATAGAGTTTATATAGGTGTGTGTGTATATACAGGGCCGTCCTTAGGGGGGTGCAACTGGTGCGGTCGCACCGAGATGGTCCTCACTGCAGAACACAAGATCCAGGGGGCGTGGTTGGATCCAGATCCAACTCCTCCCACCTTACATATCCCTAAACCTACCCGTCTCAACCCCCTGATCTCTAAACCCACCCATCTCCACCCCCTAGATGTGGATCCAACCACGCCCCCTGGATCTTGTGTTCTGCAGTGAGGGGCTACTGGTCGCACCGGGCCCTGCGCTTGAGGGGGCCCCGCGGCGAACGGACCGAGGGGAATCCCCACCCCACCCGAACGCCATCACGAACGGACCGAGGGGACCAACTAAACCTATATATACCTATAATAAAACTATATTTATTTATTTATTTATTTATATACATGTATACACACACACATATACACACGAATATAAAGTCTATAAATATTTCAAATAACTTAAGTGAAAATAAAATGTCAAAATATGGGTGAAATAATGTTCCATCATCATTTAGCATAACAGATTATTTATGTAAAAATTAAACAACATACTTATTCTTACTGTACTTATTACATATAAAAGAAAAAGTGATCATACTAAATTTTATTTCAAGTGTTTAAATACTTATTGCAGATATCTAAAGTCTTTGGTAAAACTTAGTGGTTAGATTTAAATAGGTTAAATTTTAGATTCTTAGGATAGTGGTAAAGATTTAAAATGACAGTGAATTAGTATTTTGGGACTGCACTGTGATCCTTAAATAGAGTCTTTTAATGTAATCTAATGATTCTTGTTCTAAATATGCCTGACAAGATTTTGTATACAAAGTATTGTTACACTGAATGACACGTGTTCTGTAAATTATGGTAAAAATGTATGATACATTTTTTTATACATATGATACTCATGATACATTCTAATGTATTGGGAAAAAATTAAAGCTGTATTAAATTTGTATTGTTTTGATGCTTGAAAACCCCTTTTTATATATATTTGTAATTTATGATTTAAAAAAAAAAATTCTTTAATATTAATACTACTTTAATATAACATTTGTGCATGATGAGATCCTGTAAGTTCCTACGGAAATTCATTTGACCAGAAGTTACTGTGCAAAAAAAAATTATGCATACAAGTAGCCTACCAAGTGGTGGTGATGCATACCAATAGAAGCCCATTTGCCTGAGAAGTTAACCGAAGCAACAGTACTGTTTGAGCACTGATTGAATCATGGTTTATCACTTTATTATAGACATTTAAAAAAAAAATAGTGTTTTGTTTGACAAGTCTTTAACATAGTTGACTTTTGGCTAACTCTACTAGGTCCGCCAAATAACATTTAAAAATAATTTTTCAGAATTCTGTTTTAATTCCGTTTTAATAATCTAAAAGGATGTATCATGATTTGATTAAGTGCTTTCAATTTACTCATTCAAATTTTACCAAATTCCATGACATTCCGTGATATACAGTAATATATGTATGTACAGTATATATGAGGTCTTTCAGAAATTCTTTTGACCAAAAGTCACTGTAAAAAAGTAATAAAGTATCAGGCAGCAAATAAATAGAAATCAAATCACCCTTATTTTTATAGATGCTCACAAACAGTGTTCGCCTTAGGAACAGTACTGCTGGAACCCTTATCGAATCATCATTTATCACTTTATTATAATAAACAAATATTTTAAGAAAAGTTAGTGTATTGTTTAAAACATCTTTAATGTAGTTGACTTTTGACCAAATAACAATTTGATTTGCGTGATATGAGATCAGAATGCCCCTCCCCTAAATTTTACAGTAAAATTAATTTGACCAAAAGTCACTGTAAAATTCACACACTGTATATAATACAGATTTTTTTTTAATTGGTGGACTTTTCCATTTTTAAATCGAAACCCATTTCACACAAATATCGACAAAATGTAACTAAAAATATTGAAAACAAATTATTATAAGCAGTCTGTCTGTAGATTTTGTAACTGACACTAGGCAGAATGACCCCTTCTGTTAATCAGCGAATCAGGGACAGTTAAAAATGCTGACAAATTAACAATGGCCATATTGACACATTTGAGAATATATCAGTCTGTCAATAATAGAAACCCATATAAAGTGCAAAATTGTCTAAACAACAGTATCAGACAACTTTAAATTCTTTTGCTTGACTAGCTTTAAATAATTAAATGATGAGAAAGGAGATGTGTTTCAGTCCCTGAATGAGTGAAACCCTTGTAAACATGCCAGTCACCTATTTGCCAGTTAAGTGAACGTTACACTCCGAGCAGCAGACCAACAATAGCCTTTCAAACTGATCTGAGTGTATGTTACCACATCACTGTCAAACCTGTAGTTCCTCTTACTCTATGATGTCAAGAAACTGCTAGGGATTTCAAATAAAGTGAGAAAAAAGGACTTGTGAGAATGAATGCGTGTGAACAGTACAAGCAAGTGAGTGTTTCATGGTGAGATTTCTGCATGAACATTGTAGAGTAAACGCACATGTGTGACCTACAAGATCAATTGTACCTGTGTCTCGAAACAGCTGTTCTTCCTTGAATTGGTTGTTAGTGTAGTCTTGGTTGCTATGGTGAAAAGAAGCCACATGAGTGCCACCGGCATAGCAACGGCACACTGGGAAGTGTAAGTAGTTGCAGTCGAATTCCCCTTACACATCTCTCTCAGTAACAGTTTCGCTCTGTAAACCCCCTCTAAAGCATCTTTACAACAGCAGTAACAGTCTCGCCCACTGTGACATGATGTGATAAAGCAATATGCCACTCAATGTGAAAAAAGAGAAAAGTGATGTCAGAGCTGATATTCAAAGTGAAAGAACATTTTAAAAGATGACAAAGGCTGAACATTTAAGGCAGCATCTAAAGCAGATTTAAATAGCAACGCAGAAAGGTCGTTATTTATTCAACATAGGCCTAAGGAACGTTTTCCGTAAAGAGGGGTGAGCACTCTTCCCCATTAAAGAAACCTGCCCTGACTCCAAGATAAGCTTGCATGATTCATCGAAATAAAACCGAATCATGATATGGCTTTGGCTGATGATACATGGGGCAACTTTTTGAGCAATGTTGTTTGGGCACTTTCACATTAAGAATGGCAGAACAAATGTCTATCTGGATACTTTAGATCATCGTAGGGCTGGACTATATGGCCAAAATTGATATCACGGTATATTTCTTAATTTCGGTCGATACGATATAATTCCGATATCGATATGACCACTATTTATCTGAAATGGAAATCTTTTGTAACATTATAAATGTCTTTATCATCACTTTTGATCAATTTTAAGCATCCTTGCTAAATAATCGAAATATCGGAAATGTGTTTAAAAATCATATCACCGTTATTGAAAAAAATTATATCGCGATACATATTGATATTGAATTATTGTCCAGCCCTAGATCATCGTGGGCCCTGCTGTGCCTCACCTGGTTGACATTACCCAAAGTTGCCCAGCAACATTGCTCAAAACGTTGCCCCATGTATCATCAGCCTTGGTGTGATTATCAAATCGTGTAGGCTGTGATTTATGGGAAGTAAATAAATAAAAAAGAGTGAAGCACAGCATTGTGTTCTTACATGCAAAGCACTTAAGGGCTCCCTAAAATTTGAAAATGAAGAAACTAAGACTGTCATAAATATTAGTGTTATAATTTTACAGTTGTAGTATAAAACAATTTTTGCATTATTTTTTTTAAATACTCATATTTTTATTTACAGTGAAATATTACATTAGTAATATTTCTTATTTAGTTTTTATTTAGTAGTATTTATATTATTATTATTATTATTTTATATGAACAAATGCTGTTAATTTGGACATGTTGATTTAGTTATCTGAAATGATAGTTACAGAACTCTTATTATTGTCTTTGAACAGAGATCCTACTAGTCATCTTAAAACTTTCAGTATAATTAATGTAACTTAAAATTACTTAAATGTGACTTCTGGTTGAAGTCTTTAAGCGATAGTTCACCCAAAAATGAAAATTCTGTCATAATTTACACAAAAGAAGATATTTTTAAAGAATGTTGGTAACCAAACAGTTGACTATAGCCATTGACTTATAGTATGAAAAAAAAGTCTAAAACGTCAGGGGCTACTGTCAGCTGTTGATGTCTTCAAAATAACATCTTTTGTGTTCAACAGCTGAAAGAAAGTGTTAAATCACCTGTCTTAAAAAATGCAACGGAGAAACTGCGACAGGTTTAACAAACAAAACAAATTCTATGTTTCTTAATATTCTCAACAAATAGGCATTTTATTTGACTATACTGAGTATATGAATTGTATGTTGGAGATATCCGTTTGTGTGCTTTTAAATATTCAAGCCAAATTGATTGCAATCTTTCTTTAAAAGTCTTAGCTGACAGTGTATTTGTTTTATTTGTTTTATTTGTTTCACAGGTATACACTAGTGTGTGTATGAAAGGTGTGGGTTACCGGTAATGTGTGTGGTGTGATGATGCTGAGTGTTATGTTGTTTCCACTGAGTAGGTATTTAGAGGAAATCTCCTGATAAGACAAATAACACCCACTGTTACCTCTTACTATTATTAATTCAGATATTAATCATGTTTCCATGAAATATCAATATTGACAAATGAGAAATAACGCTTTTATGTCTGTATGAAGGTTGATTTGGCTTTAATGTTATGATTATTATGATGGCACCATGACAGTGTAGGCTATTTGATTTTATATAACTCATATTGATGGAAATCCCCTCTGATTTTCATGACAGGAGCCGTTGGGGCTGCGCCCCTGTTCTCCGTACCTCGGAGGCCAGGCTATGGCACCATGGGGAAGCCCATCAAGCTGCTGGCCAACTGCTTCCAGGTGGACATCCCCAAAATGGACGTCTACCTGTACGAGGTGGACATCAATCCCGAAAAGTGCCCACGTCGTGTTAACAGGTACCAAACAATGAGCAATAATGATAATTGACGTAGTTTGTGGCACTTCTTTTATTTTAACCATTTTTTTGGGTTAACCATCTGTATAGTCAAATTGAATTGATTCATTAAAGGAACAGTTCACCCAAAAATGAATATTTGCTGAAAAATTTACTCCACCTCAGGCCATCCAAGGTATAGATGAGTTTGGTTCTTTTTTAGAACTGATTTGGAGAAATTTAGCATTACATTACTTGCTCACCAGTGGATTCTCTGCAGTGAATGGGTGCCGTCAGAATGAGAGTCCAAACAGCTGATAAAAACACCACAATAATCCAGTAATCCACACGACTCCAGTCCATCAGTTAACATCTTGTGAAGTTAAAAGCTGCGTGTGTGCGTGTGCGTAAAACAAATCCATCATTGAGATATTTTTAATTTCAAACCTTTGCTCTATCCATAGCCTTCTGTCCATAATGTTGCTTTCTCCAGTCGTCTCATCTGAATCAGGAGAGAAATATGCACAGATCAAGCAACGTTTACAGGTGATACTGGTTCTAAACAAATATGCCGGTGGATTTTGATGTGAGAGGACAACAGGGGATTAGTGTTGTCACGGTACCAAAATTTCAGTATTCGGTACCGATACCAGTGAAAATCCACGGTTCTCGGTACCAATTTCGGTACCAAAGCAAAACACAAAAACATGCTAATTGAACATTTTTATTAATAACATTAAACAAAAATTAAATGTACAAAACCAATGCCATTCTTTATACTTATTTAAAAGTGTTTCAAGTTTTCCCACAAGTAATAAAAGTATGAAAAAAGTAAACAAGTTTCACCCAAAAGTTTAGTCATAGTTACCGACTTGGTACCGAAATACCGGGTCTTTTGACAACACTACAGGGGATAGACTTTTTTTCACAGGAGGAAGTGTTACAGTATTATGGATTATTATTGTAATTGTCCAGAAGAGATGGTTTAAAGTTTTTCACTTCATAATTGATTGACTGGAGTCGTGTTGTGCATTACTGTGATGTTTTTAACAGCTGTTTAACAGCATTCATTCTGATGGCACCCATTCACTGCAGAGGATCCAGTGGTGAGCAAGTAGTGTAATGCTAAATTTCTCAATCTGTTCCAATGAAGAAAAAAAACTCATTTACACCTTGGATGGCCTGAGGTTGAGTACATTTTCAGCAAGTTTTCATTTTTGGGTGAACTATTCCTTTAAACCTACGATAACCACTACTATGACCCTTTCTGTAATGGCTTCTAGGGAGGTGGTGGATACCATGGTGCAGCACTTTAAGGTGACAATCTTTGGGGACAGAAGACCAGTCTATGATGGCAAGAAAAGCCTCTACACTGCCCAACCGTTACCAGTGGCCACAGGGGGGGTAAGACATATAAATGGGCTCCAGGGTTGGTGGGAAGTACCTTAGAGTACTTAAAAGTAATTAAGCCTTGATACATGTATTTGATTAAATGTTCATCATCATATTCCTGTTATGATGCCAACTGTAATTCTTATAAATATTTGCTGCAAACTTTTTATAATAGGCCTACCGAACTATCAAGACTGCTAAAGAACAGCATCTTGATTGTTTATTTCATTATTAGTGTTGTTTTATACGTATATTTTTGCACAAAAGCATATGGTTATTATTATTATTATGATTATTATTATTAATACCTTAATAAATATCGACAACTCAAATATTGATAGTGGACATTAAAGTATTGCCATAAATCAGGAAAATAGAATGTCATTTAATTTTATACAATCAAGAAATGGAAATAAATGAATGTAAAAAAGCTAATGAATTAAAATAGCTTAATTTTAGACATTTAAATTGATCACATGCAATGAAAATACTTTGTGACAGAATTTAGGAATTGTGTTGCATTAACATTTTATTTCATGTTAATTAACTAAATTAAATGGCAGCATTTTTTGTGCAGCCTTAATGCATTTGCACATTTTTATAAAAAGTTTATATAAATAAAAATCTCATAATTTAGAAAATTTTTCATGACAGTGTCTTTTATTATTTTAACCTGTATGACAAAATAAAACACATTTGTAAATCTGTGTTAAATATTATGTGTGTAAATTTGTGTAATATCTGTAGGTGGACTTGGATGTGACCTTGCCAGGTGATGGTGGGAAGGACAGGCTGTTCAAGGTCACCATTAAGTTTGTGTCACTGGTCAGTTGGCACTTGCTGCATGAAGTCCTCACTGGGCGGAGCACACCTGATCCTCTGAACCTGGATAAGCCAATCAGCACCAATCCCGTACACGCTGTAGATGTTGTTATGCGCCATCTGCCTTCTATGAGGTAAGAGTTCCCCCTGAGTACTGTTACCTGATCATAAAGGGCATTTAATACAATTAGAAAAGCATTAAGTGATTATGTCTTTAACGATACAGTGCATAACTAGTAAAATGAGACTGAAAGTGTTTTGTTGTAGATTAGTGTAGCATAAACAGTAAGTGGTTGGATAAGGATAATTTAGGTAAATTAATTTTGCACAGGTTTATTCTGCTGGTTACAACTGTGTTATTTGTCTTCTCTCTATTCAGGTACACTCCAGTGGGACGATCTTTTTTCTCCTCCCCCGAGGGCTATGATCACCCACTGGGTGGGGGGAGGGAGGTGTGGTTTGGCTTCCACCAATCAGTGCGACCAGCTATGTGGAAGATGATGTTGAACATTGATGGTAAGTCAGAGTGTTATGGTAAGTCAAACCATTTTGGTCTGAATTATCCAGTTACATGATCTGGATGTTGTTCAGTGGTTATAAAAGATCAGATAAAAGAAAAAGATCAAATCATTCCATAATAATTATGCAACTATTGACATTCTTCCATTTCCCCCCTATGTGTCATTGGTTGGAAAAACAGATAGTCCAGCTTTTAAAAGCATCACAGTGTTCATATTTTGGGGGATTTAACCCGCAAATGACTTGTTAGCTATTTAATTAACTATTGGTGTGCCATCGACCGTGCTTTAATTTCTCCACAGTGTCTGCTACTGCATTCTACAAAGCTCAGCCTGTGATTCAGTTCATGTGTGAGGTTTTGGATATCCATAACATCGATGAGCAGCCTCGACCTCTTACTGATTCCCATAGAGTCAAATTCACCAAAGAAATCAAAGGTTTGTGTGAATGGAAGATTAGAGTTATTTCTATTCATCAAATAATCCTGAAAAACATCATAGTTTTCAAAAAAATATTTAACAGCACAACTGTTTTCAACATTGCTAATAAGAGGAAATGGTTCTTGAGCAGAAGCACCAAATCAGCACATTAGAATGATTTCTGAATGATCATGAGACACTGAAGATGGGAGTAATTACTTCTGAAAATTCAGCTTTGCCATCACAGGAATAAATTACATTTTAAAATAAATTAAAATGAAATTGTAACAGTATTTCACAATATTACTGTTTTACTGTATTTTTAATCAAATAAATGCAAACTTCTTTAAAGAAACATTTAAAAATGCATGAATGTAAATGTCATAGATCAGTAGCCAGGTTTCCATCCACATATTTTAATGCACATTTTGGGATAACGTATTAAAAAAAAAAAAACTGGAAACACAAAGATGTGTAAGAGACATTTTTGTTTGGGAGAAACAAGGAAAGGAAATGCTGCTTACAAATTACTTAAATTTTTGCATAAATTAAATTTGCAACTTGGACTGAAACATGATATTTACTGTTCTGTATTTAATAGTCAAAATACTCTATGCTGTAAACTGACCAGTTGCATCTGTATGGTGTAAATTTGATCTTCTCCTCTTATTAGGTCTAAAGGTGGAGGTCACCCACTGTGGCACCATGCGGAGGAAGTACAGGGTGTGTAATGTTACTCGTCGACCAGCAAGCCACCAGACGTAAGTGTACTGTATATGCATCGTTTTGTATATTTCTTATGATAATGTGAGGTTTGATTGTGTCTCAGTTAGCAGACAGGCCAATAAGTCTGTACTGTGTCAAAAAACCCTTAAATATTTTATTGTCCATTTTGTTATATTGAAGCATGATATCACTTGCTCACCAGTGGATCCTCTGTGAATGGGTGCCGTCAGAATGAGAGTCCAAACAGCTGATAAAAACATCACAATAATACACAAGTAATCCACATGACTACAGTCCATCAATTAATGTCTTGTGAAGCGAAAAGCTGTGTGATTGTAAGAAACAAAGCTATCATTAATATATTTTAACTTCAAACCATTTTTTCTAACTAAAATAGGAGTTCTCTATTCATAATTTTGCTTTCTCCAGTCATCTCATCCGAATCAAGCGAGAAATATGCACATATTTCTTTGTGCACAGAAATATCCACAAAACGTTTACAAGTGAAACACTCTAAAACAGTTCTAAACAAATATGTTGGTGGATTTTGATGTGAGAGGACAATAGGGGATTAACTTTTTCACCGGACATCACGTGTTATGGATTATGGACTTGTATTTCAGCCAGAACTGATGGTTTGAAGTTAAAACGACTTAATGGTGTTTATTACAAATATGCAGCTTTTTGCTTAAAGGGTTAGTTCACCCAAAAATTAAAATTAGCCCGTTTTACTCACCCTCAAAGCATCCTAGGTGTATGTGATTTGATTTCTTCTTTTAGACGAATCCAATCGGAGTTATATTAAAAATTGTCCTGGCCCCTCCAAGCCTTTCAATGGGGGTAAGCGGGTGTTGGTTGTCAACAGTTCAGAAGACGTGAAATAAAGTGCGCGCATCCGTAATAAAACGTCCCTCACATGGCTCCGGGGGGTGAATAAAGGCCTCCTGTAGCGAATCCATGCATTTTTGTAAGATAAATATCCATATTTCAAACGCAATAAACACTTTTTTCTCACTTCCGCTGACTGTGGTACGCGGAAGACATTCAGGCATCATGCATGCACCTCTGAGAAATGCAGGAGCAAAGGAAACAAAGTTTCCTTACTTTAGCAAAGGAAAACCAGTCTCCTCTTGGCTTATATC